TGCACGGGCGTGTAAGCGTGTATCAGTCAGTGCCTGTAAATCTGAGCAGCTGCTGGCAGGTGGCCAGTCGAGACGGCTGCTGAGGGCGGCTTGGGGGAGGGTGTGCGTGCCCAGGGGTGCAGCCTGTGGAGTCAGTGGGGTCCGTCTCTCCCGCCCGTTGGGCTAAGCGGCCCTCAAATCTGGTTTTCCAAATGCTCCCTCAGAAGTCCCTCCTGCTGGACCTGCTTTGCACTGTCCCTTCTGCCTCAAGGATGCTCGCTGGTCCTTGTCTGCGACATGCAGCTCACACCCCCGCCCCCTGCCCATGGAAGTGAGCTCAGTCTCCCCGGGACCCCCTCTCAGTCGTGTGTCACAGGGACGCATCAGGAGGCCGCCTCTCAGTGTTGCACTGTCGCCCTCATTCCGTGCAGCCTTCCTGGGGCTCACACACGCACCCCCGGTGCCGCGAGACAGAAATCTTGTCTGTTCCTCTGTTTGAAGACTGTTCCCATCACTCCTTCTGTGTCTTCAAAAGATGCCCCCGATGGAAGATGCGAGGAAGCCTTTGATGTGTGGTGCTGATTTAACACCCGTCCATTGAAAAGGTGGCGGGAGAGCCGTCTCTGGCATGTTTGCCCTTTTCTCTTTGGCTGCCAGGAAGCTCAAGGCGGAAATTGCTCTTGGAGCTCCGTGGGAGGGGGGGTCTTAGGATCGGCATAGATGCAGATGATTTTTAATCTTCTCAGGTGGTTCAGATCTATCTCTGGAACTGAGTTTGAGGATTTGATTTATTCCCCCCACCCTCCCCCACACTCGTTATTAACATGCATTGTATAAGCAACTTCCATAAATTATATTTGCACACCTTGAACACGGAGCCTGAAGTTTTTATCGTTTCAAATCGTTTGTGTTCATTTGGCTTAATCCCGGGAAGCTTTACGGCTCAGGATCTGTGTCTTTAACTTTGAAGTTGGGAAAATAGAAGGTGTTATTTTTCCAAAGGGCACATACTATGCACAAAGGGCAGAGGTAGTAACAGAAGGAGACTTTTAAACATGTCTTGCAGCGTAAGGGCGCCTGGGTGGCTCAGTGGGTTCAGCGTCCGACTTCTGCTCAGGTCACGATCTCCCAGCTCATGAGTTCGAGCCCCATGTCAGGCTCTGCACCGACAGCCTGCTTGGGATTCTCTCTGTCTCCCACTCTGTGCCCCTCCCTGGCTCACGCTCTCGTGAAATAAGTAAATAAACTTTAAAAAAAAAAAAGACGTCTTGCAAAATTAAGTTTTGCATCGTAACCTTATATCCGGAAACAACACTCACGACCTTGAGGCACCTGGTACCTCCTATCACGCTTTTGGGGATTGTGGTATCTCGAAAATCACAGTTGGGTGTTAAGTGAAGATTCGTTCGTGTATTTCCGTGGAAGCCTGGAAACTTGTCTCCCAACACAGCAGGGGTGCGTTTTCCCCGTAAACCCGTCTCCTTGAGTCTTTATGAACCAGGGCATTTGTTTCGTTAGTGTTTCTGTGTGGGGCTGGTGATCGCTGTTCTGGTGGGATCGTCAACCCAAAGACCACCCCCCGGGGCCATATGTTTGAGACAAAGTCTGGAATGGGAATGGCGTCCATATTGCACAGGGATCCTTCCCACCAGGAGACGGGCGTGGGCAGGACGCGTGTGATTAAGCTACATTAAGGTTAATGCTGTGCTCGCTCAGGAAATGATTGATTTCAGAACAAAAGGAATTCATGTTCACGTCCATTCCGGAAACACGCAAAGCCACGAGGAAGGAAATTAAGTCAAGGTCGGTATTCTTACAACCTCTCTCCCGTGCGAAATTCTCAGTCACCGTTTCTTTCTTTCTTTTTTTTTTTTTTAAGTTTATTTATTTTGAGAGCCAGTGGGGGAGGGGAAGAGAGAGAGGGACACAGAGAATCCCAAACAGGCTCGGAATCATTCTTCGTTTCTTAAAATACTTCTCTCTCTTCCTCTGATTCCACCCACGTGCCTACTAGCCCGTTTCATATTGGCCGTGACCCTTGGGAGCTCTGTTTTTGTTTTTATTTTTTTTTTCCACTTAAAAAAAATATTCCCTTTGTATTTTAGCTTAAATAATGTTTCTTCATGGTTATTTTTGAAGGAGAGACAGACAGAGTGAGAGCAGGGGAGGGGCAGAGAGAGATGGAAACACAGAATCAGGCTCCAGCCTCGGAGCTGTCAGCACAGAGCCTGATGCAGGGGTTGAACTCATGAACCGTGAGATCATGACCTGAGCTGAAGTTGGATGCTTAACCAACTGAGCCACCTGGGGGACCCCGACTTAACATACACATCTCATGTGTGTATATATTATATACGGATATATATCCTGCTTTCTGTTTTTTTCTCCTTAAGCAGCATGGCTAGCCATTTCTGGGCAGGAAGTGTGTGTAAATCGGGAGGGTCTGGGGGCCTCGCCTGTTATGATTTAAGCGTTAAGCACTGCCCGTCAATCTCGCTTTGGGATGAAAGGTTAGGACTGCTTACAAAGACCTTGCTGTCTGCCTTTTGCTGGTGACCCTGAGCGCCGCGAGATGTCCTGTCCGGGTAAATACAAGGGTGTGCGTGTCCCTGCGTTTGGACACCAGGCTCCCCTCCTCTCTTGGACCTTGGGTCCTCACCTCTGTCAGCTGTAAAGGGAACGTGGGACTGGACCGTCGCTCATGCATTTTCCCTGCAGAACCTCTCTGCGATCCTGCTGTCCTCCCATCGGTAGCCCACGAGAACAGCCTGGTTATAAAGAGCGTGCATCCTGCTGGGACCTAAACCCACCTGAGGGGAGGGATCCCTGGTTGTTGAGTGGAGGCTGGGTGTCTGCAAACTTGCTGTGTAGCCTGAAGGAGTCGCATGGAGTGAGGTCCTTTAGAGAAGTTGCCCCAGCCGGAGACACTCTTCCTGGTGGAGACTGTGTTTTCAAATGTTTCAACGTCCGTAGGGTGGGGAAGATATCCAGTTGGCCTGCTCAGGCTTTCCTCTGTAGGCTTAGTTCTTCATTTTAGGGACGAGAATGCCTGACCGTGGCGGCATGTGCCCGTGGAAGGAAAGTGGATTCCTGGAAGGATCTCTTAACACGGGGATCAAAGCTGGTCCTTGCCCAGCAGGTGCAATTCCTCACCTGCACTTGGGCCATGCTTGCAGGGCTGCTGACTGTTTGTTCCCTGCGTGATCGTGCAGACAGAGGGTGGGTTAGGAGACCCCACGGTGTGGACGCGGGGCAGGCTGTACATCCCTACGCACAGGGACACAGGCTGCGGTGACGCTCCTTGGTTTCACCTTGGAAGCATGTGCTGTATCTCCAAGGGAGATTTTTAGAAGTGATTTTGCAGGACCACACGATGAGTGCCTTTCATGTTGCACAATGTATTGGTCAGTGCCTCCACCCACATCGGGACCGTCCCATTTCAAATTCCTACCCACAATGCCAGACACGTGTGCCATCCAAGTGGATGCACTTTTGCTACTCGGATGGTACCTCAGGGGCTTTTCACAAGTATTTTTCTTATTCGGTACAAACCCAAAGGCCGTTATAAAGACCATGCCGTATGTTTTCATATGCACGGCGATCTTTGCCCCTTTTTTGTTATAGACTGTTTTTTTTCCTTGATTTTTAACAACTCTTACAAACAAGAAAATACCTCTTTGCATGTGATAGGATTGCAGTTTTTTTTTCCAGTTTATCATTTTTTTTTCCAACTTTGCTTTTGGTGTCTTTTTTTTTTTCCACCAGTGAAATTTGTTTACTTAATTTTTCTCATCTTTGACTTATAATTAGGGATGGCTTTTTGTACTCTGAGATTAAAGATAAACGTATTCATGCTTTTTCTGTAATATCTTCATTGTGTGACTTCTTCTTCTTGGTTGTTTGATGTGTACTATGAGGTATGGGTCTAATTTTTCTTTTTTTGCCCCAATGTCTATTTAGGTGACCCAACACTGTTCCCCCCTCCAATGTCTATTTAGATGACCCAACATTGTCCCCCCCTGATGTCTATTTAGATGACCCAACACTGACCCCCCATGTCTATTTAGATGACCCAAAATCATGTCCCCCCATGTCTATTTAGATGAGCCAACCCTGACCCCTCCCCCAATGTCTATTTAGGTGACCCAACACCATTTATTAAAACGTTCATCTTGGTCACCTTTATCGTACGCTGAAGCTCTCCTCGCTGGCCAGTTCCTGGAGTAGGAGCACACTTTTCAAATGCAAACCAACCCATCCACAGCCCTCACCCCACTGTCTCCAAGACCCCACTCTGGGCCACGATCCACACTACCCCCCCCCCCAGTCACTGCAGGGCCAGGGACCCACAACTAGGACAGCCCCTACCACCTGGAGAGTGCTGAAATCGCCCACACTAGCCCATGCGAAACCAGCTTAGCCTGATTACCTCACCCATTTCTTTGCACGATAAAGGCTCAAGTCCACATTTCCTTGTCTGTCTGCATCCTGACCCACCTGCTGCTTCCCCGTGGGGCCCCGCCACGTGGCGTGCCCCCTCCTCTTGGGCACTGTGATCAGGAAACTTCTTTTTCAGTGGCAAGCAGTCACCCTACAATCTGCTGCCCTCCTCCGTCCTTGGGCAACAGTAAAGCCTACACTTCTGACCCAAATACTCCCTGCCTGGTGTTGCCTGGGAACATTTGCCGTGGACTCTGTCCGCGGTTGTGAACACGACACCCGCATCTGCTCAGGACCTTCCTGCCTGTCGCTGTGCTGCTATTCCAGTCGGTTCCTGCCACAGCCTCCCTGGGGTCGAGGGAGACGTTACAGGTGTCTCTCCCCAGGCTGTGATCGCTCATGACTGGCCCCCCCACAACGGTTCCGAGCCTGCGGGGAACCCATGAGGAACCAAACCACACGCACCGCACCACGCCTCCCCTGGCCCGTCCACGTTCTCCCGTGGCGGGGTTCTGATGCACGCGCACTCTGCCTGTCAGCCTCACGTTGATGTTTTTGTCTCTGGTCTGTTTCTCCTGCAGTTTTTCCCCCACAACCCGACCGTGTGGCCATAGTGACCGGAGGCACGGATGGCATCGGCTATGCCACGGCGAAGCAGCTGGCGAGGCTCGGCATGCACGTGATCATAGGTGACGATTGCATTTTTGGCTAACGCCAGGGAGCCAGTAGCTCGCGCGTGTCTGCATGCAGACAGTTGTTTGCTCGTGGGTGCGACGGTCCTTTGCGCAAAACACCTACGCGTGTCCTCTTTGCATCCCCAGTCCTACTGCATTAGGACCCACCTTAGTGACCTCATGTTACCTTAATCCCCTCTTTAAAGACCCACCCCCAAACACAACCACATTCTGAGGACCTAGGGCTCAGGGCTTCACTGTATGAACCTGGGGAAGACACAACGTAGTCCGTACCACACTCTCAGCCGGTGTTCACAACGCTGGCTTCCTCTGCTGCCAGATCCTAAAGACCCTGTATTTTCCCTTCTCCTATTCCGAACTCTCTCTGTTCCTTATTCCGGCTTCTAACTCCTCTTTGAAAATGAAGGGATTTTCCTTGCCTGGAAAAAGAGAGAGTTCCAAGGACCCATTTTGCTTTTGTTTAATAAGTTCCAGGGAACTGCGGGTAGAATTTGTAATCAGCTGGCAAAAATGCTATGTGCACATCAGCTTTGGGGAAAAAAAAACAAGCACCCAATGCTAATTATGTTCTCTCTTTTTTTTTTTTTTTTTTTTTTGAGAGAGAAAGAGAGTGCCTATGCCAGCAGGGGACGGGCAGAGGGAGAGACAGAGAGAGAGAGAGAATCTTAAGCAGGCACGGACCCTGACATGGGGCTCGAGGTCACAACCGCGAGATCATGACCTGAGCCACAATCAAGAGTCAGATGTTTAACTGCTGACCCAGGTGTCCCACTAACTACGTCCCCTACTGACATCATCTGCATTTAATTACTACCTTTTATGGTGTCTGTTTATATATAAATCGTATTACACGTCTCGTTTTAGCTGTTAAGGATTGCTTTCCACTTAAGACTTTCTAAATAACATTACGCATGGTCGTTTACTGAACCATTAGTGATTTATTTCTTCCTTTCTCCCATTTTTTCCTGTATCTTTTGCCCGCTACCATCTATCGAAGGGTGGTTTTGGATCAGAACCTCTAGTCGAGGCTGGATATTTCAACATGAATGTGTTTCGTTCCTTCCTGGCTCTTCTGAGCTCAGGACACAGTCACGTTTCCCCTTTCCCAGTCCTTGGACACTGTTGGCATCCAGTTCTCCTTAAATGCATTAATATTAAAAATATGAATCCATTACGAAAATCCATTAATCCACTAAAATCCATTAATATTATAAACCAAAGGATACTGAGGTACAGATATAAAAATATGTAAGAACACAAACTCATCACGTAATGGCGTACATTAAGTGACCTCCTGGGGGGTTTAGGGACATCTATGATTGGCCCCTGTGAGGATCTTAAGCTTTATTTTGAGCCAGCTTCAACACGTGAACCCTGTTATGAAAGTGTATCTGGTTTCTGGCGGTGGCCAGGTCATAGACCCTGCCCAGACTTCTGTGTCTTGTCCACATTCTTAGGGGTTGGCCACCATGATATGGGTGATTGCTGATGTTGAAACTCACAGTCCTGAGTTCCATGGAGGATGTCTGGGGTGGGGGGCTCTTGACCCACATGGGGAACCCCAGGTCCAGCCAGCGTGGTCTTCTGTTTTCTTTGGCCCACGTGGGTATACGCAGTGATTCCTTCCGTCCCGTAACCAAATAGACTCACACTCCTAAATGTGAATCTTTTCTTACGCTTTTGCAAAACATGACTCTGCAGTTTAAAATTTTGTGTGTGTGTGTGTGTCACATGGCCCTTCCCACATTTCACCTTTTGAAAACCTATGGTTTCTTACAGTGATTCCTTCCTCACGGACCCACGTAGGCATCTCCCTGTCATGAACAATCGGGTCTGTTGAACGGAACACATTTCTCAGGCTTTGGGACAGGTGGATTACTTCTTGGTCTACCTCACCGTTTTCTTTCCTCGTCAGAGTGTTGTTTTTCCTTCAGGGATGCGTCCAAGTGCCCGTTGTCTGCATAGATGGGGAAATGTTTGAACAGTTTTTGACAAGTCCTTGCATGGGCTGTCTTTACCAATGTCCGCATCTTCCCTCGCAGATGGAGAGGGGTTGTTTGCAGATGTGGGGGTCTTACAGGAGAGAGGGTCTGTCTGAGTGTGCATTTCTAGACGTCTTCCTCAGTTTTAGCACCTCTGTGATGTGTTTATGTCTCCCTGGGACCTGAGCACATCAGGGGACAGGGCATGTGAGCAGACAGACTGTGTCCTCTAGGAGACTCCTGCTGTATCTGGGATTTCTGCCGCCATGTGGAATGACTTGATCAAAGTGACATCAGCTCTTGAACACAAGGAGAAATAGGTGCCCTCTGAGGGCCTGCTGAATTTAGGCTAGTGGCAGAAGGAAGCTGGTGGAGCAGGACAGGGAGGGAATGTCTGGTCTGAGAAAAGACAGAGGCTGTCATCCAGCCCTCGTTATCTCTGCCCCTGTGACTTCTCCAGTGCACTTGTCTGTTTCATCTTCTTAATTCCTTATGAAACTGGGCAATGTTGCAATGCGAACAGAAATCATTCCATTCCTGTGCTGTTTGCTGCAGTGTGGTGGTTTAGGTCATGATGACATCTAGTTGATTAGGAGATCATGAGGTCTAGTTGGGTTGGGTCATGATGAAGTCTAGTCGGGTTCAGTGATGATGAGGTCTAGTTGACTTATATCATGATGAGGTCTGCTTGGGTTATATCATGATGAGGTTTAGTTGACTTATATCGTGATGAAGTCTAGATGGGTTACATCATGATGAGGTCTAGTTGGGTTAAGTGATGATGAGGTCTAGTTGACTTATATCATGATGAGGTCTGGTTGGGTTATATCATGATGAGGTTTAGTTGACTTATATCGTGATGAAGTCTAGATGGGTTACGTCATGATGAGGTCTAGTTGGGTTAAGTGATGATGAGGTCTAGTTGACTTATATCATGATGAGGTCTGGTTGGGTTATATCATGATGAGGTCTAGTTGACTTATATCGTGATGAAGTCTAGATGGGTTACGTCATGATGAGGTCTAGTTGGTTAGGTGATGATGAGGTCTAGTTGACTTATATCATGATGAGGTCTGGT